GAGTAAAAAAAATGAATGAAAAACCATAGGAATAAAAAGAAAAAAGAAAAAAGAAGGTAGCATAAAAAAAAATAATAGAATTTGAAAAAAAATAAAAAACAGAAACAGAAAAATAAAAAAAAAAAAAGAAGAAGAGGAAAGGAGAATGAAAATAAAAAAAATAATATAAAACTAATAAAATAAAAAGTAGAAACTAAAAAAAATACGTAAAATAAAAAAAGGAAGTAACAAAAAAGAAAAACCACAAGAATAATAATAATAAAAAAAAGAAGACAACATTAAAAAATAAGATAAAAGAAATAACAGAAATTTTTTATGTATATAAAAAAGAAACAGAAAATAATAGAAAAAAAAAAGAACGTGAAAAAAGAAAAAAAAAAGAAAAAGAAGAGAAGCAAAAAATAAAATGAAATATATAGAACAAGAAAATAAAAAAAATAATGAAAAAAAAAGAACGTAAAAAAAAAGAGTAACAAAATTTATAAAAAAAAATAAAAAAGGAGAAGAAGACAAATTTTATAAAAAAAATAAAAAAAATTAATAGAACAGAAAGTTAATAAAAAAGAAAAGGAAAATAGAAATAAAATAATAACAAAAAAGTTAACAAAAATGTAGTTTTTTATAAAAATAAAGTAAAAAAAAGAAAGAAGATAAAAAGTGAGTTCAAGAGAATGTCAACCAAAAGTAAAAAATTATTACTTTATTATAAAAAAAAATAAAAAAATTAAAGATAATTAAAAGAACGTGCAGCATTAAAAAAAAATTAAAAATTTTCTTTGTAAATTAATAGTAAATCTCTTAAAATCTTACCTCTTGTTTAAAAATGTAACTAAACAAAAATAATCCTAAAATTACTCAAACACTAAAATCTCTTTCCTATATAAATTCTACTTTCAAAATATAAACACACACACAAATACACACAAATGTTAATAAAAATAAATTAAAATAAACGGATTTTTCAAGTTTAAAATTAATGGACGTATGCATAAAAAAAAGAGATCATTTCAAATAAATTAGTCAGTTTCAAATAAGTTAAACAATAATTTGGGTAAATAAAAATTTATTATTAAGTTTAAATAATATAATATCTAAAATTAAGTCAAGTCATATCAAAGTTAATAAAGCAACCGTGCTAGAACCACGGGATTCGAGGGGTGCCTAACACCTTCCCCTCGGTCAACAAAATTCCTTACCCGAATTTCTAGTTTGCAGACCAATAAAAGATAGAGTCAAATTTCTTTTTGATTAGGGATTTAAATAAGGTGACTTGTAACATCAAAACTCATTTCCAAGTGGCGACTCTGAATAGTAATTATCCCTTTTCACAATGTCACTTTAATTGGAAAAACTCTTTTTTTTCTTTCAAAAAAATTCAAAACAAATAAAAATAAAAAATATTGAGATTTGAGGAAAAAAAAGGGGTGTGACAGATGGCGACTCTGCTGGGGATTAACTAGAATTCGAGCTTTAAATATTAATTTATGTATGACTATGACCTATGTATTTACGCTTTTTGGATAATGTATTTATTTTAACTTAATATGCTAATTGTTTATTTATTTAATGTTTTAATAATATTTGAATTGCTTCTCTTCCGAACCATTCTGAGTTTTCAATAAAAATAGGATGGGAATTGCAACTATGCACCCCATTTATGTCAAGATAGCCAGTGGATCTTCGATCCATGGTGAAGGATATGTAGTCACACCATTTTAGGATAGGGATCACCCATGCACAAAGCCGGAAAGCGCTGCTACCGGTACGTTGCTACTCCCTGACTCGAGTTGTCCGCTCGTTTTACAGCCAGTCTAGATATCTTACCTTAGTAGAATTGAAACTTTCAGACATGATATGCTTACTAGGTTCCGATTTATTTGCATTGTGTGCGTGTAACTTAGCGAAATTTAGCATAGGGGCCCAATTTGACTAGGACATATATCTATTGGTGAGATCATCATGTGCATTTTTGTGCTACTTGTTGCATCATGTGAAGACTGTAACAAAATGTTGACCGGCTTTAGGATAATCGACTAAAGAAATAAATATCTATTTTCTACCCATTTTCAACCAATGATTCAAAATAAATAAATTAATACACATATATATACATTCACACCTAATCCTCAATTTTATTTTTCACTTTTATTAAAATAATACATAGATAATAAATATAATAATATTAATAATATATGTTGTCTTTTAAATTGTACATATACACCTCCTTTTATTTTTCTTTCTTTTTATCAAAATTGTTCCTTCTTTTCAAAACAACCTGAATCAGTAATCACTTCAGACATTCCGAATCATTTTTATTTTTAACTACTCCAATAAATAATTTCGAATTATAAAAAATTTTCACAGTTAAAGTTGATTTTAAAAATTCCGATTTTCTTTTTTCTCATCCAGGTAATCATGAGATCTATGAGGTGTGAGGAAAGACCAAGGGATGAACAGTCAAAATGGTCAATGATCCCCCAAAATTTATGATTACAGATAAAACCCCACAATTACTAATGAATTGGTGGAACGATATGCATGAATTTAGGCGGACTGAGATATTCAAACATCTTGGTTTCCTTACAGATATCATGAGAGTTAGTCCTGACAGAGGTTTGATCGAGGCTTTGATTCCATTTTGGGATTCCACAAATAATGTGTTTTGATTTAGTGATTTTGAGTTGACGCCTACATTAGAAGAATTGAGTGGTTTCACAGGCTTAGGCCAAGATCTTCGAACTAAAACACTGATAGCCCCTAGGAGTGTCAGCAGAGGTAAATTTTTAGAACAGATGCACATCATCTATACTCATAAGGAATGTGAGTGTTTTGATAATGGGTTGGTTTCTTTGGAGTTCTTGTACTCAAGATATGGAAAGAAGGAAGGATTTTCAAGCTATGGGAAGCAACTTAAAAATGGACAACACCTCCCTACTTGGGAAAAACATAGACAAGAAGCATTCATTGTAGCATTCTTGGGAGCTATGGTTTTTACAAGGAAGGATAAAAAAATCGATATTCGTTTGTCAGGGATAGTCACTGTTATGATAAAGAAAAAAAAATTCACTATATTGCCGATGATGTTGGCTGATATTTATCGTGCTTTGACTAAATGTAGAGAGGGGGGGGGGAGATTTTTTGAAGATTGTAGCATTTTACTGCAAATGTGGTTTTTAGAGCACCTATATCGCCATCGTTTTGCGACGAATTTCAAATCTGATTGGACGAATTATATTTTGAGCCACCCAGAAAGGATGAATGAATTAGGAGACAAATTGCCAAAAGGTGTCAAAGCATGGAGACATTATCTTCTTAAACCGACGACATCTAAAATTACATGGAACTATCATAGGTTTCCTGCTAGTGAGGTAATTGTTATGTCTTCCTATCGTCCATTCTTCGTTCTGACAGGCCTTCGTGGGTTCCAACCATACATACCCCTCCGAGTTCTACGCCAACTTGGACAAAAACAAATTTTACCTGAAGCCGAGGATACGCGGAATTTTATGTGGGAAGTATCATTTGAAGATCGATATCGAGAATCAAAAGCTCAAAAGATTTGGGGTGGTAGTGGAACTTTAAGTTCGAAAGCTATGGTTGATGATCGTGTTGAAGGAGAAGTTGACCTCTTATACCTCCATTGGTTCTTTGATCAAACCCCTCTCAAAATAATGCCCGAAGGATCTGCGCGAGAAATCATAGATCGAGAAGAGGAAATTGAAGTAAGAATCAAGCAGCCCGACTCGAGTTGGAAAGAAATTATAGGTCTACTTTAGATATCTTAAGCAATGACCTAAAAAATGTTAAAGAAGAGTTGGCTCGACGTGATGCAATATTCGAGGAAAGAGTTACTTTGATTGAAAAAAGGGTTGAAAAGAAGCATCTATCTACTATTCGAACCCTACATGAAGATTTGAGCATTGTCACAGGTGCTATGGAGCAACAGGAGGAAGAATATAAGAAAGAAAAGAGCCTCTTAATACATGCGCAAGCTAGGTTACAAAATCAATTAAAAGCCTCTATGGGACGAGAAAGGGACATCGCAAACCGTTTCACATTGTACCAAGCAGAAGTGGCGACCGAAAGAAATCAATGGATGGAAGAGCGTGAAGAATTTCATAACCAAATTGAAGAGCTTCAAGCACATGAAGAGCATCTGAGTGATACAGTTATCACTACTGAAGAATGGTTGCAGAATTGTCACGAGAATATGGACGAGGCTAAAGGACAAGTGCTTCAGTTGACAGAGAGCTTGATTGATGTTTATAGTGGTCATCTCCATCGAAGTGATGAGAGCCTGGGTCAAGAGGCGCGTGCATTAGCCCCACATCTGCTGAAAGCTTTGTTCAAGGTCTACTCTAGCCTAGGGGGCAATTGATGATCAAGAAATGTCGGAGATGGATTTTTTTTTATTATTATTTTTCCCTCTTTTTAGTTCGTCATTTTTTTAATAAGTACTTTGATGTTTTATTTTGGTTATTTTGATTTGAATGGTATTTTCAAGTTAAACAAATGTCGTATTTTTCTTTTGGAAGAAATTTATCCACATGAACTACGTAACGATCTGATTCATGTTTAAACATGATACGTAGGCAACCTTTAATAGGTTCAATCAAAATGCATTCAAATTATTCAAGTAAGTAAAGTAGGAGACCAAATGACATAAGCAAGTTGTCCAAGGCCGGGATGAAACATAAAAGTCTTCCAAAACACATTATAACATATGAAAATCTAGGTGCATAAGATACAACGTGAATTTAATATTCTTAATATGTTGAATCCTAACACATATTTTTTATATATATATGAGAATTTAGAGAGTTTAAAAGGTGGTTGGTTTGTGAGGAGAGTTGGGATCTCATCAATATAATACAAGATCAATAGGGAAAGAGAAAATGACACGTAAAGATGAAACAGAGTTGGAAAATGACGACGCACAAACCCAAATGGTTGCGCAAGAATCGGTACCTATAGAAGAGGTGAAAATGTTAAGATAACAGATGACCGAAATGTACGAAGCTTGGATGAATGGGCAAGCTCCTCCGCCTTCAATTCGAGAATATTTGAATGCGAATATTCCATTCCTCATCCAAGTCTCAACAAGTGACCCAGTTTATCCACCTGGATTTGGACCCTACATTAACACATCTAATATTGCTGAAACTTCCTCAGTAAACCCGTTAAAACCATCAATGATGAATAATCCACTTTTCATGCCTACTGTCCAAACTAATACAATCCCTCAACCGACACTGGTACAACAATCCAATGAAGACCCTATACTCAAAGATCAATCGGCCAAGGTCATGCCACTAAATTAACTTTCAATGTTCCTAACTGTTACCACCACCAATACAGTTCTCCCGTTGAAGTTGAGAAAAACAATAAGAATAAGGAACATGAAGAAATTGCAAGAAAAATGATGAGTTTGGAACAAAACATAAGGAATATGCAGGTCTGGGAGGACACAAAAGTGTCTCATCTAAGGACTTGTGCATGTTTCCAGATGTTCACTTGCCTCTAGGGTTCAAAACTCCAAAATTTGATAAATATAATGGTCATGGTGATCCAGTGGCTCACTTGAGAAGATTCTGTAATCAGTTGAGAGGAGCCGGAGGAAAAGAAGAACTTCTTATGGCTTACTTTGGAGAGAGTTTAACGGGCGTAGCATCAGAATGGTTTATCGATCAGGACATTTCTCATTGGCACGTTTACGATGATATGGCACAAGATTTTGTCCAACAATTTCAATACAATATTGATATTATTCCCGATCGCAATTCCTTAGCTAATATGAAAAAAAAGCCATCAGAATGTTTTAGGGAATATGCCATAAGATGGAGGGAGCAGGCGACTAGAGTCAAACCGCCGATGAAAGACTATGAGTTAATTGATGTTTTTCTCCAGGCTCAAGAACCTGACTACTTTCATTATCTTCTCGCCGCAATGGGCAAGACTTTCGCTGAAGTGATTAAGATCGGAGAAATGGTAGAGAATGACATAAAGTTGGGTAAGGTTGTGAGTCAAGCAACCATTAGAGCTACCACACAAGCAATACAAAGTGGATCTGGTAATTTTACCAATCGAAGAAAGAAGGAGGAAGGGTCCATGTCGGCATCTGGATCAAGAGGTGTTCAAATAGGCATGAACAGTCCTTATTGTCAAGTCCAACAAGAACAATATAATTCTCCTCGGCATTATTACCCGTCCCAATATGCAGTTCTCAATACTCAGGCATATGACCGGCCTCCTTCGCGCCAACAATGGCGGGGTACTGCCCCACAAGTTTCTCGCCCACAACAACAAAATTTCCAGGCGTCATATAATCCACGTCCCCGGTCAAACTATACTAGAGAACAAGGTCAAAAAGAAAATTTTACCCCAATTGGGGAATCGTATACGAGTTTGTTACGGAAATTGATATAATTGAGACTGTTGAACCTGTCAATCTGTATGTTGTCAATCCAAATGCAAGAGGTTTTGATCCAACTGTTATATGCGAGTATCACGCCAACGCTCCAGGTCATAGCACAGAGAATTGTGAGACCCTAAAAAGAGTCATTGAGAAGTTAATTGAGTATAAGGTGATCGAGGTACGCAATGAGGAAGCACCGAATGTCACCAATAACCCACTCCCTGCTCATAATAATGAGCGTGTTGTGGGGATGGTTGGCATTTTTGAAGATTATGAGCAAACAAGTAGAACAAAAATGGAAAGCAAGGTTTTAAGAGAAGAGTCTAGTATGGTTTTAGAACACATACAAAGGGCACCGATAATTGTTAAAGGTGCACGTTCGAATTCTGGGAACTCGAGGAAGCTAGTGTTGTATGTCCCTGAGTCTATAAAAAGAGGAGATGTACCTTTGAATGGACCAAAATGCTACATTCCTTGTAAATTTTCAATGTTTGATCAAAATCAAAAAGGTATGAAAGATCCAGTTGTGATACAAATTGCAGCACAACTTCCTATCACAAACACCAAGGCCGTTCCGTGGAACTACATTTAAGTCGTCGTTACTCACAAGGGAAAAGAAATTGTTGAAGAAACAAATGAAACAAGAGGCTTAACTCGTTCCGGAAGATGTTATGCTCCGGAAGAATTAAGGAGGGACAAACAAATCAAAGAAAATCAGTTGCCGATGAAAAAACCAGTCACTGAGGAAGATGCTGAAGAATTTCTGAAAAAGATGAAAGCTCAAGATTATTCTGTTATAGATTAGTTGAGGAAAACACCTGATCAAATCTCTTTATTGTCATTACTCATACATTCTAAAGAACATCGTGAAGTGTTGACCAGAATTTTGAATGAGGCACATATTAGAAAATATTACAGTAGGTCACTTGGAAAAGATGGTCAATCGAATTTTTGAGGTAAATAGAATCACTTTCACTGTTGATGAATTGCCATTGGAAGGATCTGGACATAATAGGGCTCTAAATTTAACCCTGAAATGTGAAGAACACTATGTGAAGAGAGTCATGGTCGATGGAGGATCAGGTGTAGACATATGCCCTCTTTCCACTCTACAAAGCTTGAAAATCAACACTGATAGGATTCGTACCAACAATGTTTGTGTACGTGCATTTGATGGTGCAAAACGGGATACTCTTGGTGAAATATACTTAATAGTTACAATTGGACCAGCGGAGTTTGGAATCACTTTCCAAGTTATTGACATGGACACGTCTTACAATCTGCTTTTGGGTAGGCCATGGATCCACATGGCTAGAGCTGTGCACTCTACTCTACACCAAGTGGTTAAGTTTGAACATGACAAACAAGAAATCATTGTCCATGGTGAAGATGATCTCCCGATCACCCGAGATCCTTCAATACCATGCATTGAGGCTAAAAGAGGTTGTGAATCCCTCAACTATCACGCTTTAGAGATAATAATGATTAATCAGTTCTTAGAAGGAAATCCTATCCTCCAACCTCTTCTGTCCTCTACTTACATCATGGTGGTGGCTCAAATGGTACAAAATGGCTATGAACCAAGAAAGGGGTTAGGTTTGTCGTTGCAAGGGATTGTGAATCCTATCAGTCCAATGTGTAATCAAGATACATTCAGTTTGGGTTCCAATCCAATTAGATTTGATAGAAAATGGGCAAAATATCATAAAAGAAATGCTTGGAATCTGTCGAAGTCGATCCCCATATTGCTTAATCTTTCATTAAATCTCAAGGTGAACCGTGTCCAGACTTACCAATCCAAAATGATGTGGATGAAATGCGTTAAGGTATCAAGGAAATGTTTAATGAGGTAAATATGACTCAGAAGGGTGAGGGCACTAGTCATATGGATGTGCATTTTATCGGCCCGAATGTCCAACTCAATAATTGGAAAGCCACTCCTCTCCCAACAAAAAAGGAGTCATGGTAGTTTTTTTTGCTGTTTTTTTTAATTTTATTTTCCTTGGATTATTCTCAGGGTTGTAATTCACACATTCTAGTTGTTTCGCTTTATTGTTAACCCTTCTATCCTTTACCATTTAATGCAATAAAGTTCTAGTCATCTTCTGTGTTCCTACTCTTTCTAATATTTGCCATTTTATTTTCATTTCAGTTATGTTAACTTTAATAATATGATATGCATGCGGAGTTTACAATTAGATCCTAAAAAGTTGTCTGATCTCATAACAATGAATCCTAATTCTAAGGAATATGATAAAGATGAAGCTGATGAAGAAATTAAAAGGGGTTTGGATCAATTTGAAAATAAGCCTAAACCTAATTTAAGCGAAACAGAGGTGTTTAATTTGGGAACTCCCGAAGAAGTGAAAGAAATAAAGATAAGTATTCATGTCGATCAAACTATTCGAGACGACATAATTCAAGTTTTAATTGAATACAAAGATGTCTTCGCTTGGTCATATGATGACATGCCTGGGTTAAGTGCTGATTTGGTAGTTCACAAACTTCCCATACATCCTGATTTTCCACCTGTCCAACAAAAGCAGAGAAAATTTAAGGCAGATATGAGCGATAAAATCAAAGAGGAAATCATGAAACAACTGAATGCAAAAGTGATTAGGGTCGTCCAATACACTACTTGGTTGGCTAATGTTGTGCCAGTACCAAAAAAGGATGGAAAGATCAGAGTTTGTGTTGATTATCGAGATTTAAACAAAGCAAGTCCAAAAGAAAATTTTCCACTACCCAAAATTCATATCTTGGTTGACAATTGTGCTAAACACGAGATTCAATCTTCCGTGGACTGCTACGCCGGATATCACCAAATTCTCATGGATGAAAGAGACGCAGAAAAAACTGCTTTCACTACCCCGTGGGGTACATATTGTTATAGGGTCATGCTGTTTGGTCTAAAAAATGCAGGGGCAACCTACATGAGAGCTATGACTACAATATTCTATGACATGATGCATAACGAAGTTGAGGTATATGTCGATGATGTCATCATTAAGTCTAGAACGCAAATTGACCATGTGCGTGATCTAAGAAAATTTTTCGAAAGGTTGAGAAAGTACAATCTCAAGCTTAATCCGGCTAAATGTGCATTTGGAGTTCCATCTGGTAAGCTTTTGGGTTTTATAGTTAGCCGAAGAGGCATTGAATTAGACCCCTCCAAGATAAAGTCCATTCAAGAATTGCCACCTCCAAAAACCAGAACTGAAGTCATGAGTTTTCTGGGAAGATTAAACTATATCAGCCGATTCATCGCTCAACTCACTACTACATGCGAGCCGATATTCAAGTTATTGAAAAAGGATGCTGCTATTAAATGGACAAGTGAGTGTCAAAATGCTTTTGAAAAAATTAAGGAATATTTAGCAAATTCTCCGGTACTGGTCCCCCAGAGCTTGGTAGGCCTTTGTTTTTATACCTCTCGGTAACAGATAATTATTTTGGTTGCGTTCTAGGACAACATGACGTCACGGGAAAAAAGGAACAAGCCATGTATTACTTGAGCAAAAAGTTCACATCCTATGAAGCAAAGTACACTCTATTAGGAAAAACATGTTGTGCTTTAACTTAGGTCGCCCAAAAATTGAAGCACTATTTTTTGTCCCACACCACTTACCTCATATCTCGAATGGATCCTCTGAAATATATTTTTCAAAAAGCCATGCCGATGGGTAGGTTGGCAAAATGGCAGATTTTTCTTACCGAATTTGATTTTGTGTATGTTACTCGCACCGCCATGAAAACACAAGCATTGGCCGATCATCTGGCAGAGAATCCGATTGATGATGAATACGAACCCTTAAAGACATACTTCCCTGATGAAGAGATCAACTCTATTGAGGAAGAAATTCCTGATAATGACCCCGTATGGAAATTATATTTTGATGGGGCTGTCAACAAAAACGGAGTGGGAATTGGGGCAATTCTTATCTCACTAAGCGGTTGTCATTATCTTGCCACAGCACGACTTCAGTTCTTTTCTACCAACAACACAACAGAATATGAAGCTTGCATCATTGGTTTGAATATGCAATAAATCTGGGTGTACATGAGCTCTTAATCTTAGGGGATTCCGACTTGCTCATTTGACAAACTCGAGGCGAATGGGAAACTCGAGACATTAAGCTCATATCGTACAAACAATGTTTAGAAAATCTCATCAAAAAATTCAAGTCCATTGAATTTAGATATATTCCCAGGTTTCACAATGAGTTGGCTGATGCTTTGGCCACCCTAGCATCGATGCTTTCATACCCAGGTAATACCTCTATTGACCCGTTGGAAATCCAAGTTAGGGATCAACATGGTTATTACAATATAATTATGGTAGAGGAATATGGTGAGCCTTGATATCACGACATCAAACAGTTTATAAAAGCTAGAGAATATCCACTGCATGCTGATAGAGATCAAAAAAGAACTATTAGGCGACTCGCCAATGTGTTCTTCTTAAGTGGCGATATCTTAGATAAAAGGACTCCGGATTTGAATTTATTACCATGTGTGAATAATCAAGAGGCGGAAACAATTATGAATGAGGTACATTCAGGGGTATGTGGCCCACACATGAATGGTTACGTTCTAGCAAAAAAAATTATTCGGACAGGGTACTATTGGTTGACCATGGAGCGAGATTGCTTCCAATTTGTTCGCAAGTGCCATCAGTGCCAAATTCATAGCGACTTGATTCACTCACCCCTTTTAGAGTTGCATCCTATGTCTGCTCCGTGGCCATTTGTTACATAGGGAATAGACCTTATTGGGCCAATAGAGCCAAAAACATCTAACGGTCATCAGTTTATTTTAGTTGCCATCGATTACTTTACCAAATGGGTAGAAGCTGTCTCATTCAAATCAGTTACCAAGAAAGCGGTGGTGGACTTCGTTCATTCCAACATCATATGTCGTTTTGGCATACCAAAAATAATTACAGACAATGCAATGAATCTCAACAGCCATTTGATGAAGGAAGTTTGTGAGCAATTTAAAATTGTTCATCGTCATTCAACCCCTTATCGTCCCAAAGCAAATGGGGCTGTTGAAGCTGCGAATAAGAATATCAAGAAGATTCTTAGGAAAATGGTGCAAGGATCTAGGAAGTGGCATGAGAAATTACCCTTCGCTCTCATGGGATATCGCACGACTGTTCGTACGTCAGTCGGTGTAACTCCTTACTTATTGGTTTATGGAACTGAGGCTGTCATACCCGCAGAAGTTGAAGTCCCTTCTCTTCGAACCATTGTTGAAGCAGAAATCGAGGATAAAGAATGGGTTAAATCGAGGTTAGAACAATTAGCACTGATAGAAGAAAAACGATTGACATCAATTTGTTTTGGTCAATTATATCAGCAGAGGATGGCTCGGGCATATAATAAGAAAGTACGCCCAAGGAATTTTGAAGTGGGTCAACTTGTTGTGAAACGTATCCTTCCCCACCAAGACGAGGCCAAGGGAAAGTTTTCTCCAAATTGGCAAGGCCCTTATGTTATTAAGCAAGTGTTATCCAAAGGAGCTTTGGAATTGGCGGATATGGAGGGAAAGGCAATTGACACAATTGTCAATGCAGATTCGATCAAGAGATACTACATTTAGCTCTCCTTCTCATTCTTATGATGAGAAGATAAAAATGTATCCTCTTTTATCTCAAACACCACTGGTCTGGTGTTTAAAAATAAAAATAAAAACTAAAAAAAAAAGAAAAAAAAAACTAAAAAAAAAATTATTAAAAAAAAAGCACGGAAAGTTCATTGAACTACGTTTGACCTGATTTCTAAAAGGATACGTAGGCAGCCCTTCATTAGGGTTCGGTCTAGTCACTCAATAAAAAGATAATCATGTTCTTCAGTTCTCTAAAGGTAGAGACATTATGTTGGTGAACTATGGAAAAGATGAAGAAGAGAGTGTTGTGAAAACCCTTACGGGCACTATAAGACGATGGTTTGGTGAAAAATCATGAAAGATGTTACTGATCAAATGATGACATTTTGTCTGGACATGAGCGCAATCATGATAAAAGTCAAGCTTAGACTGAAAGGTGCAACATTGTTTCCTGAGATTCAGACAACTCGAAAAAGATCAAACGTTCGGTCCAATTGCATGTCATGTTTCAAAGTTGTCATGTACTTTCAGATAAGATTCTTTTCACTCATTTAAACATTTTCTTATTTATCTTCTACTTCTAAAGACACAATTTTCCTTCATAACCCTTTTATTCGTGTCATTATTGCTTGTGTTTCTTTGAGTTTTTATTTTTCTTTCTCAGTATCGACTCGTGTCAAGTGAGAAAATCAAATTAAATCAGCAAAATTGACTACGGTATTTCCAGTTGAATGTTGGGAACATGCACCATATTGGCTAGGGTTGTGAACCTATCGAGATAATAAATATCATAAATCTATACCGAGTGAAAATATATAAAGCAAAAGAGTCGCTTGGGAACGAATGAACCACACAACATGCACAAAATGGTGATGAGTTAGAATGTCCATGAAAAGTGTTTCAAGGAAAGATAAGGACTGTTTTGAAAACATCTACAAGATATTCGCACAATCATCAATGGGATGAATCTTCCAAGCGGGGCGGATCCAGAAGTCAAGCTTTACAAAATATTCAAAGTCATGAACCAACCACTATGTAGGAAAATTAACAATACATTTCTTTGACTTAAAACAGGTATAAGGCAAAATCATGTAAATAGTTTGCGAGAGACAAACGCCGCGATGGTAAGTTCTTGAATCTTTACTTTCCATATAATATGCGTGATAAAATAATAATAACAATAAAAATGATTTTTTTATTGAATCTGGGGCATATTATATTATTTTTAGTTTGTTCAATGTACAAATAAAAATAAAATAAAATAACGATAACCCCTGGTTGCATATAGGGAACAATAACCCCTATCCTAATTTTTTCTTCACAAGGCACAATAACCCCTATCATTTTTTTTTGTCTTCACAGGGCCTAATAATCCCTGGTTTCATATAGGGCACAATAACCTCTATCCTATTTTTCATGTCTTCACAGGGCACAATAACTCCTGGATTGCATATAGGGCACGATAACCCCTATCATTTTTCATGTCTTCACAGGGCACAATAACCACTGGATTACATATAGGGCACAATAACCCCTATCATTTTTTTTTATGTCTTCACAGGGCACAATAACCCCTGGTTGCATATAGGGCACAATAACCCTATCATTTTTTCTTCACAGGGCACAATAACCCCTGGATTGCATATAGGGCACAATAACCCCTA